ATGCCTCGTTGACAACTTGGCTCTAGCCCTCGCGGTGGGCAAAGGGCGGTCGGACAGCCCGCGCCTCGTGCGCGCCTTGAGGCGGCTCTCTGGCGTCACCTTGGCATGCGGGCTGCGGCTGCTGGTCCGATGGGTGCCCTCTGAACGGAATGTCGCCGACAAGCCGTCGAGGGAGGGCTTCTTCGTCGGCCCGAGCTTCGAGGACTTCTTGGAGGGGCAGGTCGCGCGGCGGCCTCGTCGGGCCCAAGGAGGTGCTCAGGACTGCGAGGGGTCGGAAGACCCACCCTGGGCCCTCCAGTCTCTCGCGAGGGAGTCTTTCAGTGCAGGGGGCGTCGGCCGCCTCGGCCTCCACGGGCAGGTACTTCCACGATCGCGCCCAGAAGTTTCTGAGCTGGTGCCTGTGGACCGCGCTGGACTCCGCCTGCTCCGTCGACCTCAGCGCCGTGCTGGCGGTGCACGTCGCGCATCTGTTCCTGTGCGGGTACGACCACGCGACGGGCCGCGCCAAGCTGGCCGCCCTGAAGTGCCATCTCCCCTCGATGCGGGTCGGGAGTCGGCCGATGCTGCGGGCATTTCGGGCGCTGCAGGGGTGGGCGCAGTTCGTTCGGCCCCTGACCCGCCATCAGCTGTCTCGGGTGGCGATGGTCGCGACAGTGGGCGCCCCCCTGGCGCAGGGCCGCCTGTCCGAGGTGGAGTTCGTGCGCCTGGCCTTCGACACGTGCCTCCGCCCGAGGGAGGCCTGCCGCCTCGCGGCCACGGGTGGGGTCGAAGGAAGGCTACCAGCACTGGACCAGCCTGGTCAACGAGGCAGCCATCGGGAGGCCTGGCCAGACGGGGGCGACCGACGAGAACGTGATCGTAACCGACCCCTCGCGGGCGCTCTCCCCCGCGCTAGTGCTCTTCGGCGGCCAAGTCGGGGCCAGGCTGCTACAGCTGATGGAGGTGGCGGCGAGGACGGGCACCTCCCCGCTCCGCCCGCCGCCCCTAGTGCCCGCGTCGGCGCCGGCTGCAGAGAGGACGGCGCCCGCGCTGACCGATCGGTGGAGGTTCGACTGAATAGGCTGTGGCGGCGTGCCCGTTTGCGCGCCTCTGTTCTGCCGTACTTCGTCACATTGTGCATCTGCGTGCCGCCTCGTGTTCGATTGGCCTGCGAGGATCGCGGGCTAGGAACAGTGGCCATCAACCTAGCCAGACATCGTGCAGAGGACGCCTCGGATCCTCGCGCGTTGCAGACGCTGCTGGGCTGGGTGCGATCCTCGGCCGTCTCAGGGCTGTGGGCGTCCTTGCCGTCCGTGACTTGGTCCTCCAGCGGCGCTCGACGCCGCCGCCTGGACGCCCCGCTTAAGGGCGTCAACCGTGGCGACACCGATCTTCGCGCCATTCGTGTGGCGAGCGCCCTAGCAGAGTCTGTCTTTAAGTTGATTCGTGGGTGCACGGCTCGTCAGGTGCCCGTGATTTTCTGGCACCCAGAATCAGGCCTGATCTGGCGACATCCGCTCCTTTCCTCGCTCCTCGCCTCTGCCTCCTCTTCTTTCTCGCTCGACTCCTGCATGTTCTCGGGTCGAGTTCGGCAGAGATTGTGTTTGATCGGATGGGGCGTCCGAGATCTCCATTGCCTGTCACGCCGTTGCCTCTGCACCCTAGGCCTGTGTGACCGTGCTGGCCGCCGCCACCTTGGCGGCCTAGGGCGTCCTGCGCTGGATGCCGTTGCACGTTGCTCCGCCCGTGGGTTGCCCTTTCAGGTAGCCACTGCAGGCACTGGCATGATAGTGGCCGCTGCTAGGCAATTATCTCGAGCCGCTAGATACAAGAAAGTGTTTGGTCAATGATGTGTTGCGGCTATGGCCATTTGCTGGGACGAGCGTGAGTTACCGAGTCTGTGCTTCGAGGCTGGCCGTTGCTCTCGTGCGCCGTCGCCCTTCTGCACAAGTACCCGATGGCCTCGAGAGAGCCCCACATACAGCGACTTGTCGGCATTTGTGGGTTTGCATGTGGCCGCACCTCCTTGCTCAAGTTCTTCCCTGGGCCCTCCCGCCCAACTTGAGCCGAAGTTTAACTGTTTTGTGCTTCGCTGACCGAGTCTGTGCTTCGAGGCTGGCCGTTGCTCTCGTGCGCCGTCGCCCTTTTGCACAAACAGTACCCGATGGCCTCGAGAGAGCCCCACATCATCATCATCATCATCATCATCATCATCATCATCGTCATCAGCGTCATCATCATCATCATCATCATCATTATCATCATAAGGGGGCACCTTAGGCCAGGGGCACCTTTATCGCCGAGCGCGTTGCACTACTCGCAAAGCTCCTCCTGGCAAGCGTCAGAAACAACACATGTCTGCATCGATGTGATGTTTCGCGAATCCTCCACAGCGGATCCAGACCATTTGCGAGTGCGTATTCTGCGAGTAGTGAAACGTGCTTGTCTACTTTGGCAACCCCCGAACGAGGAGGAACAGGTACTATACCGCTACCCTCGCCTCGTTTTCGCCTGCTTCTTGGCATCGTTCGGAACTCTGCATTTTCTTCGTCGATGACCATCGAGGAGCATCTTAGGTCTCTTGGCAATAGAGGACACACGCGAAGTCAAACATGCACGGGGAATGAACGTTTGAACGATAGTAAGGATACTGCTGCCCTCGCCTCGATTCGTTTCCAGATGCTGGTCAGGAGGCGTCCAGGAGAGATCTGGGGAGCAGGTCGACGGAAAGCGAGGGGGGGAAGTGAGGGGGAGACGGCCTTTTCAGAATGCGGCTGGACTTTTCAGAAACCCCCGCGCCTTCTGAGAAGTTTTCGGTGTCTTTGGGGAAGGCTTGGGACTCTTCTCAGAAGGCCCGGGGACTTTCAAGCTTTCTGAGAAGCCCGACCCCTTCTCACCCTCCCCCCGGGCTCGCCGCCGAGTCGCAGTATCGGTACTCTCAATTTCCCCGATTCCTTCCTTCTCTCTCCCCTCGATCAACCTCGCCCTTATCCCCCTCACCTCCTCCTCCTTCTCCTCCTCCTCCTCCTCCTCCTCCTCCTCCTCCTCCTCCTCTGGTCCCCTCACAATCCTTTCCTCCACCTCTGGCAGGCGCCCCGCCATCTGGAAGGGCAAGCCGGGGTCCAGTTCGATCTGCTGGTCTGGGCGGGCCCGAGGCGGTTCGATGCCGAGGTTCTGGCGGTTCGATGCGCCCCGATGGTTGCGTGGCGTTTTTATGCATCGTGGCGTTGCCGATTTGATTTGGTGCTGGTGGTGGTGGTGGTGGCTATGACGATGGTGAATGCGACGACGACGATGATGATGAGGATGCTGATTATGATGATGATGATGCTGATGATGATGATGCTGATGCTGATGATGATGATGATGCTGCTGCTGATGATGATGATGATGATGATGATGATGCGTAGGAGGAGGAAGAGGAGGTGGAGGAGGAAGAGGCGGGGGATGACGACGGCGACGACGTCCATGATGATGCTGGTGAGGATGAATCTGATGATGACGATTATGATGGTAGTGACGATGATGATGGTGATGGTAACCACTATGATGATGCTGCTGGTGATGATCATGATCAT